CTTAGTCGGTAAAAACTACAAAAGAACAAAATGAAAATACACTTAATACAATCTTACAGTGAAAGATACATGAAATAATGTAATGAAATACGAATTTACGTTTGCAAAATAATGATCCCCATTGCGTTCCGTACTTTTAAAAACTTCAAAAAGGGAATGGATAAAAATGCAACTTAAATCAATATCTAGCGATCAAATATAGAGTTAAACGTATTTAATAGCATAAAAATAAACAGGTAAGTAAAATTATAAACTTACAGCGTGGTAGAGCTATCTATCTACGGGAAAAGAAGGAATTTAGAATGTAAACACGCCGATTTGTAAAGGTGCTTCCGCTAAAATTATGAACTAATGGGAGATAACTGTAGATTACTACGGCGGTCCAATAAGACAATCGCGACAGAACATTGGTATATAATCAAAATTCTTGCAACTTAAATATAAATTTCTTGGTTATTGTAGGAAGGCCAACGACGACGAGGAGGACGACTCCAGGTATGTTATCTTATAATTCTTATTTTAACGTCACTTTGCACACTGCCCTAAATTTAACATTAGGAAAGTACAGATGTGTTTAAAAAGTATGTATGTCTTAACGTAGTTTTGCACATTAGAGAATTTTTCTCTCGATTTCAATGACAAATTGATCATCAAGTGTCATTATTTTTGATCTTTTTATTTCCTGATGCTGGAAATTTCTTGTTCTTGTATTGTAGATAATATTTTTCTTAAGGAACAGGTTTTGCCTCGAAACGATTACACAGGATTTTTTTTGTCTATCTACTTTCACTTTATGATGTTTCTAATAATTCCACAAAATTGTTTGCAGGTTGCATGACAGAGCCAAATATCAGCAATGCAATTATAACCACGAATTCTCCAACACTGTTTACAACAGTCAATATCACTTGTCGTGAAGGGTTCAGAATGACACAAATTCTGAGTTGTGATTCTGATAATTTGAAATATGAAGACACAGAATGTAGACCAGGTGAGAAAATTGTAAACTTACGGGGTCAGATCGACCAGAATCTAGTAGCAGCACAAATTTCAACGACTACTAACACAGCCGGCGGTATCTGGGATAATCTGTTCAATTGCTGTATTAAGTTGACCTGGGCGCCCCAATGACTGAAAGATCATAATTGATGATTTTACAGATATGACCAATTGTCATCTTGCCATCTTGACCCATATTGCCATCTTGTCCAATTGTCATCTTGACCAATTGCCATCTTGACCCATATTGCCATCTTTACCTTTGCCATCTTTACCAATTGCCATCTCGACCAATTGCCATCTTGACCAATTGCCATCTTGACCAATTGCCATCGTGACCAATTGCCATCTCGACCAATTGCCATCTTGACCAATTGCCATCTCGACCAATTGCCATCTTGACCAATTGCCATCTCGACCAATTGCCATCTTGACCAATTGCCATCGTGACCATTTGCCATCTTTATATTTGATGTTTCTTTTTCAGTTGAATGTCCGTTGAACCCGGTAATAAGAAATGGTGACCTGACTTCTGCGATCGGGTCAAGAGTTATTGGAGTTAAATATAATTTTAGGTGTAAAAGACCTTTTACTAAACAAGGGGGAGAAGGAACTATAATATGTAATACGTGTGGAGAATGGGAAACGGATATAACATGTGTAGGTAAGAAATGAAATGAAGTTTTACGTACTACATTTCTGCAACTAGTTTCACTAAGTAGGCCTACAGCAAACTCCACGCAGCGTGCAATGAAGGATTTTTTGCCAGGTCACGCGACATCGGATCTTTTTCGATTTCCATCTGTCGAGAGATCTTTAATCACTGCCGGATCCCGTGTCGATACGTTACTAAAGGTACGACAAAGCCTTAGTTAGAAAACTGCTTCACAAATACGAATCANAATATAGTTTGTTTGTATATTTTCTTGTTTGCAGGTCCTTGTCAGTTCCAGGAAGTCGGGTGTCAAGGCTTTCCACCTGGGTATGCTCCAATTGTGAAAACCAGAGAATACTCACGGACTGCATGCGAGACATCATGTAACAACAATCCTAGGTGTACGACATGGTCTTTCCTCGAGTATCGCTGCAAACTATACACATCTCCTGTCATTATGGTTATCGGAGGTTCACTAACAAGGGCTAAGTGTCAACAGTTGTGCGCCTTTAATCGCAGATGTTTGTCCGTTGTCTCTACACCTACAGAGTGCGCTCTGTTTGATAAAAGACAACTAGAAACTTCACGTGGAGCAACTGGGTTGAATTTCTACTACTCTAAAATCGATGAAGATTGTGAGTAATGTAGCCAACACCCTACATTGAGTATAATTAATATCTATTCCGAATCGTAAATAAATAATTTACATGCATTATGTTATGTGTTATTTATTTGTCTTACCATTTCTTATTACTACAGGGGTGTGAAGGTGAAAAAGGTTGAGAACCATGCCTTGCTATATTATGTTATAGATAACTAAAAATCAATGTTCCCACTTTCAGAAAGTGGCACAGCTCCATATTTTAACTTTTGAAGATGCGCATTTTGATTTAATTTCTATAGAAATATTGAACTTTAATGAGCTATTAAAACATTTGGATTAGAACCCACTGAAGAGATAGTGAAATTGACTAATAAACCAATCAAATGTTCAACATTTCCAATTCAAATATACAGGACAAAAGTTTTGTAGTTAGCTTTCACTTTGGGTTTTATATCAGTTGAGTTTAGGAAAACAGTTTGAAGAAATTATAATAAATTTAACTTAACCAAAAGTTTGGATTAGGTTCTTTAACTTTAGAAACTAAAAAACCTAACACTACAGCATGGATAAATAAAGCAAAACCTTACCTTGTGGATCAAATCGGAGACACTCTTCAAGGTGATTTAGATATGAATAATTTCAAAGCAACTAATTTAAAATCTCCGAAAAATGATAATGACGCTGTTCACAAGAAATATTGACGGGAGCAAATAAATTCAATTGAAGTAAATAAAAACCATTTAGAATATGAAATAAGTAATGTGAAAAGATTCTTCAAACGTCAATTAAATAATAAAAATTTTATTAATGATACTAAACTAACCTGTGCCAGTGCCTTATATTGAATAGTAACTGGTTACTCTTCAATCACCCTAATCTCTAAAATACAACAAGAGGTAGAAAGTTTTATAAGTTTTATTCAAAAACAATTGGTTGATGTAGTGAACAAAATTTAATTTCATTAATATCTAAATTAGAGGATAAGATTACAAAACAAAAATTAGACATTCAACAATTAATAGATAACATTCCAGATGAAAATGAAGATATATTTCAACAGGAATTAAATGCTCTGGAAACTAAACTTAACGGTGAATTACAAAAAGAACTAACGATTATTAAACAACAAAACCTCTATTCAACAACAAATACAAAATATTGATGATAGTGTTACTCAACAACAGATTACCACTATTAATAATGAAGTTTTAAAACAGGACAAAAATATAGCCGCATTAGAAAAGCATCTCAAGGAAGAAAATAAATCATATTATTTCAATCTTCCTTTTAGAAATTTAACTTATAAAGATGCTTCTATTACTGATAATATTGATAAATCAAAATATTATGAATTGAAAAAATATGGATTTACATATTTTACATTTCTTACATTAGAGATGGTATTATTAACCCTCCAGGTCTTTTTGATAGAGTAGTTGATATTATTCATACAACACTTTTTACTTTCCGAGGATAACTTCAAATTTAAATTACTTTTCCTTTGCAGGTAAAAGTTGATTCAATATTTTTCAGACAAAACTCACGATATTCATGTAATCAATTTAACGCTCGTAAAGTTCTTCAGTTTATCAATGGTACACAAATGTGGAAACTAAAGAATTAGAAATTAACGACGAAAACAGCAAGCTTAATCACTTGTATGAAATTAAAACAAGTGGAAAAAATATAGATAGGTTTAGAACGTTAATCACACCAGATAAAGAAAAGATCTTCTTGGATTGAGTAATTTTGATATGATATTGGAGACGGAAACTCCACCATCAATGAATATTAATTAGAATTCCAGAACCACAAAAAGAAGGAGGAAAGCTATTCAGTTATGAGTTTTTACGAACTTCAGACTTTGAATACGTAAAATATTTTGTTAATAATGATATATTTACCTCAATTGATATTCATAAAAGTCAACAAAAACAAAAATTTTGATACCAGCAATAAGAGATGATGAGGCATATGTTAATATATCTATCTCTATTGAAAAACCAAAATTTTCAGTTCATCTAAACAAGATTAATGATTCGAAAGAACAAATGTCGTTAGTAACTGTAAAAGTTTATACCATGGACAAAAAAATTATCCAGCTTTTGGTTTATCAGAAGTTCACTTAATTCAATTACCTTAAAAATGTAACTAGAAAGCAGACATAACTACATGATAGGAAAACAAAATGAACTAAAAGAAAAACTAAAACACTTCAACAAATGCAGAAAAACATGGAGTAGAATTGATTCTGTTTTCAAAACATTAAGCACAATTCTAACAGTAGGGATAACAGTGGCAACAGCCGTAATGGCGGATTAATGCTTCCAATAATTGTTTTACATCAAAACAGAAATCTAATTATAAAAAGAAAACAGAAATTTTAAATACATATCTTAATGAATTATTTATATTTTTTGAAAGATCAAGAGAAGATAAGAACATAACCATTGAAGAATTAGAAGAATTCATTGAAATTTTAGATACATTTGATGTAGAAATATCATCTGTAAATATAAAGATAAAATAAATATTTAAAAATAAAAACTTAAAGAAAAGAATGGATAAAATTGGAAATTTAGACAAAGGACTATCCAAAAGACTTTTTTCATTGATATTCAATTCAATACCTAATTTATTTTCGCGTAAATTTGACAAAGAAGATGAAGAATCCTTTATATAGTTAATAATATGGATAAGGAGTTTAAAAATGAGGAGAATGAAATTAAAATATCAACCACAAATATGCTTTATTCAGAATTAATCATGAGAATAACTATTCTATTTAATGATTTTAAAATTAAAGGTCAAATTGAAATAGACGAATATATGAAGAGGGGGAATATAAACACGACACGACAGTATCTGGTTTCAATGCCCAATCTTTCCAAGCTGCTTATTCAAAGGCGCATGATACACCTGACGCCTCTGATTGGTATTTTACAGGAGAGATTATTTTCCGCAAAAATTATTTCAGAATAGTAAAAAGATCTAAAACTGGCAGAGGTGGAAATCAACTTAAAAAGATAAATGAATACAAAGGCGAAAATTGTTACATACCAAGCGATGGTTATTGTTTTATAAAGTGTGTAAATCACTTCATGAATAAAGACTTAATAAAGGAATTTAAAGAAACAAAAGAATTTGAAAAATTTATCAACAGTTTTAAAAAGAAAAAAGAAAAGGAGTGATGACAGTTGGAAGAATTAAGCTATTCAGCGATCGATTTAATACCAATTTTCAAATCTATAACCCTAAAGACAGTCATTTTCAACCAAGATATTATGTATACATAGACTTAGATTGGGTTTTTTACTTACACAAAGAACATTTCTGTTTGATAAGAAGAAATAATAAAGCTTTGGGTATTAAAGAAATAGAAGAAAACTATAATGAAAATGTGTGGAGAACCTGCAGAGATGATGATGCAGTATTATGTTTTGCTCAGTTAAAACTAAATGTGATGTCACAACCCCATGATGGGTGTTTATTTGCTTGGGATTGTGAAACAGATTGTGAAGAGGGGGCTAATAAAGCATTTCCTTATTGCTGTTCTTTAGTCAATTTGGAAAAACTAAGGAAAAAACTAGAACTAACTAAAAGAGTATTCCCAGATTTAAAGCCAATTGATCCCATTCCGGAAAGGTTTTACAACAAACTCACGACTAATATAGTAGACATATTTGTAGGAACAGATTGTTTCGATCAGATGTTGCGTCGTTTAGAACAAGTAGATAAAAAAAGACTAACCTTAATTTCCCATAAAGGCAGTGGTTTTGATAACAGGATTGCATTTAAAAGCGTCAAAAAACTTACACAATGTCCACTAGTAATAGATGAAAAAAGAGTGAAAGGAGAGATAAAAATATCTGATAAAAATAAATATTTACAAAACCTGTATCACTTGTTCATTTCAACATCAAAGCACTAGTTTGTCTGCATGGGGTAATTCATCTAATCTACCGATGAATTTAAGAAAAATAATGGATGTAGACATTGCTAAATACACCAAGGACAACTGTGAACCTTTAAGACATGAATGGGAGCCATATGCTAAAAGAGATACTCTCTGTCTTAGAGTCTGTTTGATCAAATACAATCAAGCAATGAAAGAAACTGTCTTCCTAAACGTTTCAAATAATCTAACAGCTCCGGTGCTATCTTTAAATTGTTGGTATTATTTGTATCATTACGATATAGAGATGGTTGAAAAAAAATGGTATGAAACAACTATAAAGGTTCCAGAATGCACTGAAAAAGAAAACATTGATACAGTTTATTCACACACTCATCCTTTTATAAGATATTTCATCAGACAATCCATTAAAGGAGTGAGAGTTTCTGCTAACAGGAAAACATTTGAAACGGACAAAATGAATGAGATTTGCGCCATATTAAAGGAGTATTTAGAAAGTGACACTGAAGGAATAATAGATTTATTCAAAGAATACAACACAAGTACAAAAGATAAAACAGATTTTCACGCTAAACTCAAAGAGCTGGACTATTCTAAACTGATGGCATTTGACGCTAATGGGCTGTATGTATGCCTCTGCTATGACAGAAGGTGAATATCATAAAAGCTCAAAGTGCTGGAGCATTTATACCTTATATTTGTTAAGCTATTTAATGAAGAGAAATTCAGACCTAGAACAGTTATTTTAAAAGTCTGGTTTGAATATCCTACTAACATGTTCTTTCAACCAATACCTGCTAAAGATAAAATAACTTTTACGAACAGAATAGGTAAGTAGGAAACTGGCACTAAAATCAGGTTTAGAAATGGCTTCTGTTCAGACGTTTTAACATCGGTTGACATTCAAGAAGTAGTTAAAGCCGGTGGTAATATACTCAGGATATTAGATGGAATAGTCTATGAAGAAAATTTTAAAACTCCTCCATATAGAGAATACATTTTAATTTTGAAGGAATTAAGGAATAAATACAAAAAGAAAGGGGATGTGGTTGCTAGTAACTGCATGAAGTTGTTAGGTAATTCCTTATACGGTAAATCTATTCAGAGGGATAGAAATACCTCATTGCATTTATGGAATGAAGAAACCTTCCGCCTTAATAACGACAATCACGTCAAGAAGTATGACAAACTAAATGATAGTTGAGATTAATGACGAAGAAAAAGAGTTTGTTCCCCAAAAGGATTCTACAAGATTAACACCCAATCATTTAGGTGCGTTTATATTATCTCACAGTAAAAGAATAATTAACAATTTTATTCATGTAATAGATGGATTTTATAAACCGGAAATATACTATACAGATACTGATAGTTTATACATTTCTTCTAAAAATTGGGATAAATTAAATAAAGCTGGGTTGGTATCTGAACTGATTATTGCAAAGGAAAGAATGACTACGGAGATGGTGGAATTATTTTTGGTATGTATTTAGCATCAAAAGTTAAATATAATATCATTTTGACTTCTGATGGTGTTTTGAACGAAAAGAAAACGTTTAAGGGATACTCTAACTATGAGATTGAGATGGACGATTATGTTCAATTAGCTAGCGGACATGATGTGACGAATGAATTTGATAAACCATGGGGAAAGAGTTTTACTGATGGAATAGTTATTCCTAATGAAAAACAAACTAAAAAATTTAGAAGTTATTTGAATTTAATGAAGAGAAAAGCACCAGATGATGAAGGAAAAATGTATCCTTACAACTCTGGGAGGGAGATGTGCTTGGATGACGATTATGTATTTGATGATTTTGATTATTTTACAAATGTATCTAATGATGATCCATCAGAATAAATTTAGTTCTTTTGTTTTAAATGAAGTTGAATTACAATTACCTCATCACCAGAATCTATAAACCTATTTTTACCATCTTTGATTTCCAGATTTATATCTTTAATCATAAAGGAATTAAGTGGTAAATTATGTCGTTTGAAATGGTTTATCTATAATTCTATATCCAATCAGTACAGTGAATGTTGGAATACTGTAAATAATCTGACGTTTGTATTTGTTGAAAAATCCACCGTTTATCAAATTACATTGAATATTAATGACATCGATATCATTCTCGATTAGCCTTGTGTGGTGCTAAAGTGGATTGGGTGTATGTTTTTTTTTTATCAAAGCCTAGTAAAGTATTTAAAGAATTTTCTACTTTGAAATCAACTTGACTCTTATTTCTCAATATCAATTTTATTTTGTTCACTACTGGTACGGACTAATGAGACATTAAATTATACCCCAATGAGGTAGTAATTATCCCAAATCTAGTGGCCATTAATCTAAGAAAGATTTGATTTCCCTTTATACTGTCTCTTCTTGGGGCGTTTCTAACCACCAGACTGGAGCTGACTGATGGTCACTTCGGTCATTGCTTGCTTGGCTTTTATCAGGGTGATGAATCTGAAGATGTTAGGATGGTTGGTGGTCATCTTGTTCATTCTAGCATGCCACCCCTCAACATGATTCGTGGTTCGCGGACCTACAGTGTGAAAATGGTTCCACATATGTATAACTTCTCCTTCCACCTACTGTTCGGTCACATAGTCAGCAAATTTTGCAATTGAGGGATCTTCCATGTTAGCGGCTTCAGGGGCATTGAACCAATAATCTTCGATATGTTCAGGTCTAAGTAGAGCTACAGCAGATGCTCTCCTCACGAATAAGTTCACATCTGGATTGTTTGCAAAGGCACATGGGAGTAATTGTATGAAAAAGGGAATAGCCTGTATTGTGGGGCACAGGGACTTAGTAGAATATCCGGTAGGGTCTGATGGACCCATTAATGATTCAGCTTTATATAGAAACCAAAAGTTATGCCAAATTTGTTTTTTGTTATGGTGAAATTCTCAAAAACTAGCGATTCAAAAATAGAGCAATAGAGAATAAAAAATTACATTTATGACTGCCCCTACACGTCGATATCTCATCCGAGGAATGAGAAGTTCCAGATTTGTCGGGCTCGATCCAGAATAGCTGTTGAACTCATTTCATCTCTGTCTCATTCATTAAGTTGCCTTATGGACTTTGACTTACGGATTGACGCAGTTTGTCCAATCCAATGCAATGTACAATGAGAAATTTCGTCATTAAGCTCTATAAAAGCTCAATTATTTGCATATGAAATGAATTGAAAATAAAATGTATATAGCAAGCCTTGTTATTGTTGTTTTGTTTTGTCAAAACTTGAATTAGTCATCTTTCTGCCTTCCAGTCTACCCAACTGCAGATAGGTACGGAATAAGTCATCTTTCTTCCCTACCCAACTGTAAATAGGTTCTGAATAAGTCATCTTTCTGCCTTCCTGTCTACCCAACTGTAGATAGTACTGATTAAGTCATCTTTCCCCCATTCCAGCCTCTTCAACTGTAGATAGTACTGATTAAGTCATCTTTCCCCCATTCCAGTTGACCCAACTGTAAGTAGGTTCTGAAAAAGTCATTTTTCCGTATTCCAACCTGCCCAGCAGAAAATTAGTACTGGTATTCCAGTTGACCCAACTGTATATAGGTACTGAATAAGTCATCTCTCCCCCATTCCAACCTAATCAGCTGTAAATAGGTACTGAATAAGTCATCTCTCCCCCATTCCAGCCTAATCAGCTGTTAATAGGTACTGAATAAGTCATCTTTCCCCCATTCCAGTCTATCCAACTGTAAATAGGTACTGAATAAGTCATCTCTCCCCCATTCCAGTCTATCCAGCTGTAAATAGGTACTGAATAAGTCATCTTTCCCCCATTCCAGTCTATTTAGCTGTAAATAGGTACTGAATAAGTCATCTCTCCCCCATTCCAGCCTATTCAACTGTAAATAGGTACTGAATAAGTCATCTCTCCCCCATTCCAGTCTATCCAGCTGTAAATAGGTACTGAATAAGTCATCTTGCCCCCATTCCAGTCTATCTAGCTGTAAATAGGTACTGAATAAGTCATCTTTCCCCCATTCCAGTCTATCTAGCTGTAAATAGGTACTGAATAAGTCCTCTTTTCCCCATTCCAGTCTATCCAGCTGTAAATAGGTACTAAATAAGTCACCTCTCCCCCATTCCAGTCTATCCAGCTGTAAATAGGTACTAAATAAGTCACCTCTCCCCCATTCCAGTCGACCCAGCTGTAAATAGGTACTAAATAAGTCACCTCTCCCCCATTCCAGTCTATCCAGCTGTAAATAGGTACTGATTAAGTCATCTTTACCCCATTCCAGTCTATCCAGCTGTAAATAGGTACTGAATAAGTCATCTCTCCCCCATTCCAGTCTATCCAGCTGTAAATAGGTACTGAATAATACTGAATAAGTCATCTTTCCCCCCATTCCAGTCTATCCAGCTGTAAATAGGTACTGAATAAGTCTTCTTTCCGTATTCCAGTCTAATCAGCTGTAAATAGGTACTGAATAAGTCATCTTTCCGTATTCCAGTTGACCCATCTGTAAATAGGTACTGAATAAGTCATCTTTCCCCGATCAAGTCTATCCAGCTGTCATTTCTTTATAACCGTTTATGAATCATAAGATGATTGTTGTGTGCAGATTAATAAGAGACAGTCCAGTGGCACATTTAGGAGCTTGTGATTGCCCTTTCCTCTCGGGCTATATAAAATGAAACATTTATTCTACTTTTCACCTCCCAAACCAATTTTCAATCCAATTTTCTAGAGAGAGGTTCCTCTAAACTGAAACCCCGTGAGCTACAAGCTGTGCAGATCGCTCGACAGTTAGAAATTGCATACGTTGCGTTTCCACTTTTATTTAATTTTTAAATTGATTGCATATACTAAAATAAACCACGATGTTAAGAGCTGTGACGACAATACAAGATACAACATTCACATTCAATTTCAGTTATTCTTCCTAGTAACAGCTTGTCTTTGTAAACAAAGGGACGGTATTTCTGTCTTTGTGGTGTTAGTCGTTCATCACCCCTTATAACTGAAACATAGTCTCGGTAAAGTATTGTTCAGTCTTTATGACATCGCTGAAATTAAGGTACCCCCACATCATAGCGAATACCAGTTAACTGTATGGTTACGAATAATCAAAGTAGCCATGATTTCCGAACGCAATTCAAATGTTCAATCAGGGTTCTTGCAGAATTAGGCGTTGAAAGACACTATCACACAAAAAACCATATGATAACAGGAACCACAGACATCTGACGGAAAATTTGACTGACGCGAATGAAAACCATAAACGGCCACAATGAGTCAGTGCTGCACTACATAACCTGTGATCAAATATAGCTTAGGCAAGATGTTAAGGACTAATCAAACAAGCAAATAGGAAAAAAACTATGTTAAAAATGCCTAGAATTGAGTATAAATAGACGTGGCAAATTATTGCTTTATTTTCACTTGTAACTGAGAAGATGCATGCTGGAAGATTATCGTACCCTGCGGTTCTGTTCTGCATAACCTCTTGGACTGCTGTTGCTCAAGGTATGTTATCTTTTTGTTTCATCGTAGCTTTGTACATTGCCCTAAATTTAAAACATTAGAGAAGTACAGATGTGTATGTGAAAAGTATGTATGTCTTAACGTAGTTTTACACAGTAGGGAATTTTCTCCCGATTTCGATAGCAAAGTGATCACCGGTCGTCAGTATTTTTGACCATTGATTTACAGATGCTGGAAATTTCTTGTTCTTGTATTGTAAATAATATTTTCCCATGTGTTGAGGAACAGGTTTTACATCGAAAGGATTACACAGGATTTTTTTTGTCTACTTTCACTTCCAAAATGTAAGATTTATTCTCCTTCCTCCTAGAGTATGATATTGTCCAAGGGAAGAAAATTGCTATAACTAAAATTATTCTCATTAAATTTCTGTGGAATAAAAATATAATAAATTTCTTGAGACCTATCTTGTTGTCTTGGTAGATAATTTAATAATTTTGGTATTTAATTAAAATTCTTGGTACATGATATGAATTTCTTGGTATTTGTAGGCAGAACTATCGAAATTACGACAAATACCGATACAGGTATGTTATCTTATAGTTCTTATTTTAACAAAGTGACAAAGTGATTGCCGAGCGTCAGAATATTTGATCTTCTGATTTTCTGATGCTGGAAATTTCTTGTTCTTGTATTGTAAATAATATTTTCCCATGTGTTGAGGAACAGGTTTTACCTCGAAAGACTTGCACAGGTTGTTTTTTGTCTACTTTTCACTTTAAAAAATCGTGCTAGATGTTATTCTCCGACTTGTTGCTTTGGTATATAATTTAATAATTTTGTTATATAATTAAAATTCTTGGTAAATGATATGAATTTCTTGGTATTTGTAGGCGAAACTATCGAATTTACGACAAATACCGATACAGGTATGTTATCTTATAGTTCTTATTTTAACAAAGTGACGAGGTGATTGCCGAGCGTCATAATATTTGATCTTCTGATTTTCTGATGCTGGAAATTTCTTGTTTTTGTATTGTAAATAATATTTTCCCATGTGTTGAAGATCAGGTTTTACCTCGAAAGACTTGCACAGGTTGTTTTTTGTCTACTTTTCACTTTAAAAAATCGTGCTAGATGTTATTCTCCGACTTGTTGCTTTGGTATATAATTTAATAATTTTGGTATTTAATTAAAATTCTTGGTACATGATATGAATTTCTTGGTATTTGTAGGCGAAACTAACGAATTTACGACAAATACCGATACAGGTATGTTATCTTATAGTTCTTATTTTAACAAAGTGACGAGGTGATTGCCGAGCGTCATAATATTTGATCTTCTGATTTTCTGATGCTGGAAATTTCTTGTTTTTGTATTGTAAATAATATTTTCCCATGTGTTGAGGATCAGGTTTTACCTCGAAAGACTTGCACAGGTTGTTTTTTGTCTACTTTTCACTTTAAAAAATCGTGCTAGATGTTATTCTCCGACTTGTTGCTTTGGTATATAATTTAATAATTTTGGTATTTAATTAAAATTCTTGGTACATGATATGAATTTCTTGGTATTTGTAGGCGAAACTATCGAATTTACGACTCCAGGTATGTTATCTTATAGTTCTTATTTTAACGTCACTTTGCACACTGCCCTAAATTTAACATTAGGGAAGTACAGATCTGTTTAAAAAGTATGTATGTCTTAACGTAGTTTTCCACATTAGAGAATTTTTCTCTCGATTTCAATGACAAAGTGATCATCTAGTGTCAATATTTTTGATCTTTTTATTTTCTGATGTTGGAAATTTCTTGTTCTTGTATTGTAAATAATATTTTCCCATGTGTTGAGGAACAGGTTTTACCTCGAAAGGATTACACAGGATTATTCTTTGTCTACTGTCATTTCTAGATCGCGTTAGATTTATTTTCCGTCCTTATCAGTGGCTCAGCCAGGTTTACGTCCGAGGTGGGCGAAATATCTGAGATTGGAAGAATTTCTAACCTGGTCATGGGACTTTGGCCTGAAAAACTTGTTTTCGGGGCTGCTAATCGGGTATGAAATTTTCCAATTGAAGAAAAACTGCCATAATTAAAATTAGTCAGACCTAACTTATAGTCTTGGTACATAATTTTATGATTTTGGTTATTCAGTCGTATCCCGGAGGAATGACGTCTAGTTTAACTGTAACCCAAATTGCATCAATGTCAACTACAGGAGTATAAATCACAACTTTATTT